AATTGCAATTAGTTATAATTTTTACAAGAAACTGCAAATTGTTATAATTATTACAAGAGACTATAATTATTATAATTTAAATAAAGTTGCAACATTATGTTGTAACATAGGTGTTGCAATAATATTTTTTATTGCAATTAAAATTATATATTACAATTAGTAACAATAAGTTGCAATTATTACAAGGTATCATATTAATTAGTAAAATGATATAATATTCATAAGATCAAGTAATTTTTTAAAAAATTAATTCTTACAATAAATTTTAAATAAATTTTTAAAAATTTTGTTGCTATAATAAATCACTTTTTATTTCATTATTATCAAAAGTTAACTGAAATTATTACATCTCTTTACTATCTTTTTAGTTTAAAATAGTTTTTTTATTTTTTTTTTTTTGCTACAAATTCAATAATTAAATAAATTTTCAATATTATCTTTAGTTGAAAAACTTAAATTATAGAAGTTGAATAATTTTCAAATACTTTAGATGATAGTTCAAGTACATCATCAAGAAGTATAAAAAAACATTTAAAAAGAAAATTTTCTAAAGTATGAAAACATTTTATTCAAGGAAGAGAAAATACTACCTGTGACTATTATGAAAAAACATGTAAATATTGTAATAAATTTTGGACAGATGCTAATAAAGTATAATAATTATAGAAGTCATTATATATGTAAAATTTCATTACTAATTATTTATAAAGTTGATTAGTTAATTGAACTTTATTTATCAATAATACTGAGTAAACTAAAAACTAATGGTTTTTTCACACAAATGAAAGAATAATTATGAAAAAAAAGTTTAATTAGTAATACTAACTGTATAATTTTAAAAGCTTTTAATTTGTATACTAATAACTAATAATTTATTAAAACTAGTCATTAACAAAAAAAAATACACAAATATTTATCTTCTTTAGAATTTCTTTCAATGCAACTTGTACATTTTCTTTTTTAATTATTTTTGAATTTGTCCTATCTCTTCCATAAAAAAAAACCTGTTGATAATTCATCTATTGAGATATTGAAATAAGTTTTTTTTAAATATTATTAGGTTTATTTATTAAATTTTTTATTTATAAATTAAAAAATCAGAAATTATAATTTTACAGTTAATCTATTTAATGATAATAATATCTAATATGGTGTGTTGACTTCATTACTTAGTAAATAAAGATATCTAATTATGTTTTATTTCTCTTATAGATAAAATATACAATATATTATATAGTAGGGTATCAAAAATCACTAGGTATTTACGATATTGATTATTTTTGAAAAATTATATCAAATTTTTAAATTAAAATAACTTATGAACTATTATATTAATTTGAATAAATTATTTTTATATTAATCATTTAAATATATATTTTATAATTTTATTGTTAATATTTTGTAGGATTGTCTTTATTTTCAATAATAGTAGTAATATGATGTGACATACTATCAACAAGATTTTTATATATACTTTTATTAAGTTTTAGCCATTCATTTTGCAAAATCTGCTATAAATCATCTTGATTTTTTGGTAGTGGTTTATGTTTCTGACTTTTCTATCTAATTCATCCTATAAATTTTCTATAGGATTTAAATTTGAGCTCTGTGCAGGCTATAGTAAGCTTGTAATCTTATTTTTTACTTCCCATTTTTTTATTGCTTTTGCTTTGTGATTAGGAGCATTATTTTCTTGAAAAATATAATTATTTTTATTTTCTAAACTATTTATAAATGATAATAAATAGTTATTTAACACATCTATATATATTTGCTATTATTCTACCTTCTAATTTGACCAATAGACCTAGTTTATTCTTTGTAAAACAATCCAAATCATAACATTCTATTAATCTGATTTAAATGTAGAATTTTTCTTGAGCATTTCTTCAAACATATTTTTCTATCTTCTTAAATACTTCAAACCGAGATTCATCACTCCAAATAATATTTTCCCATTCATTTTCCAATCTTTTCTATTTTTAGCCTATGTTAATCTTTTTATTTATTAGTTGCATTTATAAAACGTTTTTTTGCTCTAATTCTTCCAAAAACTCCATTATTATGAAGATGTCTTTTAAGAGTAATTTGGCTTACATTTGTTGAAGTAGAAGTAACAAAAATTTTCACATGATTTATTAATATTAGTTCTATGATTTTTATTAAAAATCCCTTTCAGTTAAAATAGGTGGTCTACCACTTCGAGAAGAAAGTGTTTCAAAACCATCATTTTTATATATAAAATAACATTATGAACAGTACTTTTTGGATAATTTAGTACTTCACTTATTTTTCTTTCACTAAAAACCACACTTCCAAGCACCTATAATTTCACCGCGTTGAAAATCAGAAAGTTCTTTACGTTGAGTAGTCATTTTTTTTTATAAAAACTATTTTGAAAAATAAATTTTCATTGAAATATAAAATATAGTAACAAATAAAAAAATTTTTATTCAAATCATTTAAAATTTTGATTCAAAATTGAAAAAATGATTAACATCGCACATAATTAGTAACTCACTATACCAAGTCGATCTCAACGAATATAAATGCAATTAATCTGAAATTTTGGTTTTTTAATACGCTTAACAAGTTTACTTAGAACAAAAAAATGTATTACAGCTAATAATTTCAATGTTTTATTATAACTGAAATCTTGTATTAAAATTCGAAAATGCTGTATTAAATATACAATAAATATTTTTATTTCTAATTTAACATTTATAAAAACTTTAAAATATATGTAAAACATTATGACGTGACGAACTACTTTGCTTATTCAACCAAAATTGATTAAAAGTTTAATTTGAGATCAAAATTTCCGTCAATTTTCTAATTTTTAAGTTCCCGGTGACTTTTGATACCCCACTGTACGTTCCCAATTGTGAGGTGAATCATTAATGCTGAATAATTATGATGTGATTGTATAAAGTGGTGATAAACATTTATCGCTTACAATTCTGGAATGATTTAATGGAAGTAAAAAGATCATTCAGGCCAAAAATGCTTTTAAAAAATGTTTCTAACAGCAGACCATCTGAGAAGAGAAAGCATCAAGAGCAATGGTTGTTTCTGATATGGAAGGTTTTTGTGTAAATCAATTTATCCTTCACATAGTTAATAGGAGTTCTTAGGTATTTAAAAGTGTCAATTTCTTATTTTTAGAAAAGATTCGAAAGAACCCATTCCCGAATTTTGTTTTAGGAAACAGTTCTGAATTAGTACGATAATCATGATAATCTTATATTTTGGGTCCCGTATTTAGTTACCATATAATTTTTTATAATTTTTTTATTAAATGCTAAATTAAACTCGGATGAAAATGAAAGAAACGACTAAGTATATAATAAATATGACTCATTCTTGCTGAACGAAACGTTCAGCAATGTTACGATAATGATTCAAGCGAGAATGATAACGAACAACGATGCCAAGATATAAGGATAACTTCATTGTTCTAATTGTTTATTCGAAATAAAATTAAATTCTATCGTTTTTCAAGTGTACTCCATAATATATATATATATATACTGTATATATGAATAATTTCCTTGCAACAAAACGACAACGCAGCGATGGTAAAGGGAATGCACAGCAAACTTTTTACGATTAAACATACGAAAATCAAAATCAAAATAAAATCAACACAATTACACAATGAGTCAATTATTTTTTTCAAATGATTTTTATTGTTTTTATTAGAAAAAGAGAACGATGAATAAGAAGATGAGTAAAAGTGGTGGATGATATAAACATTGAATGTAAGATTAAGGGGTTCTAGGTGAGTAATAAAAGATGTTTAAGTAAATTGAATTAGTTTTTACCATCAACCATCAAAACGTGATTAGAGAAAAAAAAACCGTGATCATTACCTTAGCTGTTTCTAATTTATTGCAGGCAGGTATTTCACCTGCCGAGCACCCATCCTGTTATATTAGTCGAGTCAAGGATGGATTGATTACAAGGCTACGATGGATTGATTACAAGCTACGCTCGGCTTGTAATCCGTGATTCAAGTGGCACTTCAGAGACAAGAGTAAATTGAATGACTCTTTGCTCTGAATTTCGTTTATCATAGCATTCATTGATTTTGACTTTTTGGAGGGGGTCTCTAACCTGTAAAGGGATTCATGAATTCATGAATTTGCGTACAAGTAGTCATAAAGCGTAAAGAAAAAAGAAACGTACTTACATTGAGGTATATATGCATATTTATTACTGTTATACTTTTCGTCGCACAACTTGAACCCTCTCCGAATATATTGCTGGAATAATACCTTTCAAATTCCGGAGCCATATTACTCTTTATTTTATTTATTTTATTTTATTTATTTATTTATTTTCCAAAACACCAAATTGTGATATTTTTAAATAAATTCTCTGGATCTGGGTTCGTGTAACCCTAGTTGGTTGAGATTTTAGATTGATATAAAAGTGGATGGCACATGAGTTTGCCATTTGATTATTAATACTGACTTATAATAGAGTTACTTTGTTGAATTAAATTCTTTAATGTTCAATAACATTATTATTTATTTATTTTTTTCCACACCACTTCGGAACAATAGGATAATTTAAATATAGCTTTGATAAGGAAATCAAAATAAAGAACTAGTACAAAAGAGAGAGAAAACAGATGAAATTAATATATTTTTATCAAAAAATCAATATTACAGTGAAAGCTTGTGACAAGCGCCCACATCAGATATCTTCAAATTAATAAATCTATTTTTCTCATGAATCTTTTTTATTTTTTGTTTTAGGCAACTATTTATTTATCCATCAATTTTTTTTTTATATCAGATATATAATTTAAGATTAGTGATCATAATATAGGGTACGAAAGTATTTATCAATTAGGAAAGAACAAACTGCAAAATGCATTCCAAGATTTCATGTGATGAACATTCACCAAAATTAATGATCTTTTTAATCGGACTTTCGGTATAAATATTTTTATTCTTGTTACCTAAAAACATACCATCATTAACCTTCAAGATATGGAGGAAAGTAAATTCAGTGAAGAAGTAATTGAACAAATAAAAGATATAATTCCGTGGGGTTTGAGTGATGAGAATAACTTGTTAATTGATAAACTGATATTAAATGATAATCTAAAAACGCGTTATAAAACATATGGATTATGTAGAGAATGTTATCAGCCCAATACTAGTTGCGATACAAGCGATTTCGGTTATGTTTATTGGTGTCAATCATGCAATGCTACACGTTTCGAACAGGATTTCAAGAATTGGACTAGCGGAGATCATCACGTTGATGAGCTTGTTCAAAAATCACAACTCAAAGCAAAGAATTACAAAGAAGTAATAGAATGGTACAATTATCAATTTGAAGATGTTAAAACTCTGATCAAAGACAAATCCGGAATCACCTACACCGCAAGTTGGTACGGTGATCTATGTATGTTAGAATGGGACTATGTCCGTAACAGTTGGAAAAGGTATAACCCAGGTCGCGTTATTCTAAGGTATTTACATGACGAACCTGATAATCCGGTTGAATTCTTGAAAAAGGTTAGATATTATGATGTTATTTATTATTTTCTTCGAGAAAAAAAAATTGTCAACGACATGCTAACCAAAAATCGTTATCATTTTCAAGGTTGAATCACGTATTGCGATGAATGGTTCGCCTAATTCCGCACGATTATACGGTATTACTAAAGATCCAAAAACCGGTAACTTTATGATGGTTATGGAACTTAAACATATCATTAACTTTAGAGATTGTGTTAAAAATTCCAACAATAATGATAGGTTGAAACTTTTAAGAGATATTGCAAGAGGCCTTAAGGATATTCATAATAATGGTTTGATTCATCGTAATTTTCATTGTGGCAGCTTATCAATCGAATTGGATCACGCATTTTATATTGTTTCTATCACCGACTTGGGATCAAGTCAACCGGCAAATCCAAAATCTATACAAGATGACCAAGTTCAGGTGTACGGTGTGTTGCCTTATGTGGCCCCCGAAATTTTAGTAGGTAATGAACACACGCAAGCGGCCGACATCTACGGATTTGGAATGATAGCATATGAAATAATGACCAAATTACCTCCTTATCATGATGTGGCGCATGATGAATCCTTGGCTTCAAGAATCTGTCAAGGTTTGAGACCAAGTTTTAATTGTAAAGTTCCGCCTCTGATTTTAGATATAATTCAAAGGTGTTGGGATGCGGATCCTTCAAATCGTCCCAATGCGAATGAATTGTACTCTTTATTATACAAATTTGGATTTGATGCTTTCTTCGTTCAAAGTTCATTAGCATATAGGCAAGTTTTAGAAGCGTATAAAATTAATAGCTCATCATTTACCGGTATTAAAGATATTAAATTACATCCTCAAGCAGTTTATACGAGCAAACTTTTAACTTTTAAAGATCTTCCGAACCCCCAAAATGCTGATGTTGATCAGATTTAAATCGAGAGAAATTTTTTTTTTTTAAATTATCAAGATTTTATATGTTAAATATTAAATAAAGGACAAAATTTTTAACCTAAAAAACCCTTTAAACATGTATCTTAATTGGGGTACGTGATAGGTTTATTTGCAAAAGGATTTTCATAACTCTATAGTGATTGTTCCGACTACATTATTTTACAATTTGATCCTTTCTCTAAATTTTCTATCCGAGCCTATATCTATTGGCTTGTTAATTAAATTATTTGTACAAGTATTTAATGTGTTCAAATTTTGTAAAAAAACAAAAAATTCCTTTGTTGATTAAAAGAAGTGACTGTTTGACGAGATTGTAAAAAAAAAAAAAAAGTTTTGATCATTTGAGATTTATAATCATTAGACCAAATATGCCAAATTATTAAATATCGGATCGGATTGTTTAACATTCCTATCCACTACCTAACTTTAAATCTTAGAGTGAAATTGTTTCTAGGAAAATGAAGGTAACACCATAACGAATTACTCGGTATAGCAATATTAAATATTCGATATAGTAATTAAAATGTACAGTTTTTAAATAAATAAAGTAAATTTATAAATCATTTTATTGAATAAATTTTCAGCATTAAAAGAATTCTTAACGTAAGATCAAACTTATCAATCTATATTTGAATTTCTTACAATTCCATTGTATGCATAGAATAAATTCGTGTATTTATCATCATCCATATAAATTTCATTTTCATCAATTTTAGGCAAAATATTTGCCTTCAACCAGCAATTTTTAATCGTTTCTTATGTAATATATCTTATATGTATGCAACATATTTTATGCACTTTTGATGTCAATTTCAAATTCAATACAGTCAGACCTGTCTATAATCACCCTGTTTATAATCACATCCTGTCTATAATCACTTAATTTTAATGTCCCAAA